CCACCCACACCCACTAATGCTAGTTTGTTTCGCGGATTTAGTCTATAGATGTTTGGGCATTTTTATCTGGCGAGTGTGCAAAGAGAGAAAATTTATCTTTTTTATCATTTATTTACTAATTTGTGTGTTTGTGTTGGTCTTATCAGGGTACAACTCTAAGTAACGCAATCATACCACCTTATTATTCCCACTCAAACACACATCATGAATGAAGAGGGTTTTATGATGGACTTCGGTGGCGATGCTAACTGTCAATAAAACCAAAACGACTCCATCTATCACACCATATTTTACCGGAAGTTGATATTAAAAGCTATAAGGATCGTATTTTTCTTCCGAAAACGTCAACCCAAGTTAATTTTTTGAACTATTTGGTGATTATTAGTTAAAAAAAACGAAAAGAACACTCAATCTTAACCTCAACTGATAGTGAAAGATCTTTCGAAAATTCTTTCTACCACACTCAAAAGGACGCAAAATTCATCTTTGAAAATCCTTTGGTTGCTGTATCGAATATTTTCTTTTCTTGCTTTCATTTTAGAGATGTTTTTGAATAATTTACATCACTCGTCTAATTATAATGATTCATTGTATTCACAAGCTATGAATGAATCAATCTTAAATCATCTATTCCTTCCTCTGAATTTACCATCATCGAACAATAGTGATTATTTAACGGAGTCCAACCATCAGAATGAATACAAGTTACTTGAATATATAGATGAATTCTTACAATCGCCAGATGTTGGGAATGAATTATCAGTATTACCTATTCTTAAGAAATGTATTCAAAATTGGTTGATTGTACAGAATGTTAAAAACTGTTCTGTAGAGAATTTACAGTCAACCATTCAGAAACTAAAACCAGATGATTTTCTCCCTCTGTATTTCTATGCTCAAAATGCGGCAATCTTGATTGAAATTGATGAAAATTCTGACGATCAGCCATTAGTCTCATCTTGGCAAGTTTTATTACCAACAGAAACCATAACATCATCATTGGAACCACATATATCCTGTTTTCCTGTACCAACGTTTCGATTGTCTAATCGTTCTCAATTATTATCTCGAGTTCAATGTGAATTATTAGTCGATTTCGTAAATAACACAATTGAATGTGCACAATCTCATAAAGCATCACACACATTTAATGAAATACGTGAAGTGCCTATAGCACATTATGTATGCCAATGGTGGATCACACAATTTCAAGGGGTTCAAACCGATCAACAAGCCAATACATCGATTTCATTCAAGAAAAAGCATCGTGATCAAATTCGATATAGGAGTTCGATGTATCCCTTTCGACGATCAGGTTTATGGATGACTATTAAAGTTGTTTTTCATATTATTCTAACAAAACGTTTGGGAAAAATGGGTACAATCATGTATAAACTGCTGATTACAAACTTGTTAACTTATTTTATTCATAAGATGAGTTCTCAAATATCTACAGATTTGTTAACATATTGCCTTCGAAAAATAGTTCGCCGATTAAATAAAATTGACAGTTTGTTATCATCTGTTGATTTCAACGATATGAATCACTGGATACAAAAGATAACTGAAGAAATTAAAAAGAAAATTGAGCAGATTACTCCGAATTCGAACTGGCAAAGATCAGTCGAAGAAAGAAAAAAACAAAAATTACCTGAAATTCGATTAGATCCAACACAACGAGAAACACAGGAACATTCGTGCCTGAAATTTAAAAGTTATCTGCAGAAACATCAATCTGATACATCGTTTAAACCATCCTATCATACTTCTAACTATGATCATTGGACGTCGAATAGAACTGTTGATCAAGACAATGGATTACCTACTATTTCATTCTCAAACAGTTATGACGATAATACCATCAAAGTACAATTGATTCGTATTGAAATATTTGTGCAATCGTCTTTAGAAGATTGGATTAACCGTTTCTTAGCATCACAAAATGGATACAAATGTTTCGAAAATTTACAAACATTTTATGAAGACTATCAGCGTTCAGCATTGCAATTTTATTATTCAGAAAATAAATCAACAGATCCGATGGGTTATAGTCGATTTATCCTAACATCATTGACTATCATCTATTTCATGCATAAAAAATTATGTGAAGATAAACAATTCGAACGATTGAAATTGCATGCCATTCGAATACCAAATCTGTTAGATCTATTCGACTTTTTAGTGTTGCCCAATCGAGATGATATGATTCGAGCTCGAAGTTTATATGATTATTTTCAAGAATTCAATGGAAAACCATATCCTGATTTGTTAAGTAATATTGAGTCCAGTATTGCTTTTGGCGTTTATTTTGCTGATCAATCAATAGAAATGAATGAAGAGCTTAAAAAAATTCAAGAACAAGCTGAAAAAGATAAGAAAGATAAGATTGAAGAAGTGATCAAAGCGAAAGAAAAATACGAAGAACTTATGAAAAAAGCTGAAGATCTCAAATGTGAATGTGATGAATTAACATTTTTTTACAAGAAATGTGATCAATGCACCATTAGAAAAGAAGCAAATAATATTAAAGTTAATATTTACGAATGTCCAATACCATCGAGACGAGAAAGTGCTTTGGCGGTTATGTTTGAACTACAAATGCCGAAAGAAATCAGATGTTATCGAGATATCCTTTGGCAATTTATTAATCGTCCTAATCCAAATCCATCGAATCAAATGTATGAATGGTTAAGCACTAGTCCTCATAGCATTAAGTTAAGACAGTTCCACAAAGGTTCAGGTAAATGTAAAGTGAAATTGGTATCTGAGACTAAGTCAATATCACAAAGTCATTATTCATATCCACGACAAGTCGCATCAACATCTGTGGAAGATTTTTTGTATGAAAATAGTCTACAAGTTCAAATCACTCCAACTAAACCAACGGAATTTCAACATGAATGTCAAACATTAACGCCCGAACTGACTCATTGCAATTATAAAGATTTACAGTTTTCCATTGGTAGCACACAATTTGTTCAAAATCGTGTTATTGCTGAGTTATCTAAATGTTCAATAAAACTCAAGTCAACCGAATTTGTTGAGTTCAGTTCATTTCGTTCTGGTCATTATTTACAATGGTGGAATCTTTTAAGTATTCTTGAATTATATTCTTTATCAATGGATGAAGAAAGTGTTGCAATACTAATTACTCATGCACTGTTACAAAATGGACCAACGATGACGAATGGAAAGGAGCTTATTCATTCTTGGTGTCCCGAGTCCCATCAACAATTATTAGATGATTATTTTGTTGATGAATTAATTTCGAGATTAGATCGTCATTTGAAAGATTGTGAATGTAATTGGAAAAATGAATTATTGTTAATCATTATAACAATAATTGTCATGAGAATATTTACTATTTGTAATTCAACAAGAAAAGATGAAATTACTAGAGTAGTTTTAAAATGTCGTAATATAGGTGAAAAATGGATACGACTTATTTCCGAAAGTATTCAAAATGCATTTTCATTTACGTCTGATAATATGAATTCATCACGTGATAAAATCGTAATTATTGGCATTGCAAATGTATTAACATTTTCCATGTATACCGATATTAGCAAGTCTTTAGAATTATCAAATGAAAATATTATTTCTTTATTGACAACAATCACAGCTATTCATGATAATATGACTTTAAGCAAGAAAAAAACAGATATGAGTGTATTTATGAGAAATTTATTGCGTTATAGTGAACGTGTACTAGTATTATTACATTCAACTATAAGCAAACTTCTTGAAAAAACTTCTTATGAAAGTTTAAATGAATTTTGTTCTATTTACTGGGCAGTGATTCGAACCAAGGATAAAATGAATGTAAAATGGAAGAAACGAACTAATGATATGTATGATGGTTGGTACGATAGTCAATATGAATCAAATAAAGTTTCGATTGATGTTTTGAGAGGAAAATTCCTAGTCAATGAAATGAGTATTGGTTTTTTACCAGATAGAATCACTTCAGATAAATTATTTCTTCGTGTATTTAGTCATCATATTTTTGAAGTACAAGCAGCTGAATCAAAAGATACTTATATCACAAAACATGGATATCATAGTCATAGTGATGGACAAGTTCATTATGAATTTAAGTATGATGAAAGAAATAATCAATTGATAGTCTATGAACGACATATACAAAACAAACAAAAGTTTGAATTGATCCCTCCGAGTTGCTTTGAAAAAGAATTACCTGATATTTTTGTTTCGAACTACAGCCATTGGTGGAACGCAAAGGATATGACTTTACAGTTTCGACCAATTCATTTTCAGGATTCCAATTTCCTCAGTAATATACATTATATATTAGAAATCAAGACAGGACGTATTAGAACTTACAATAATACCAAAAATATACAATACTTAATTAATCGATCATCAACATTTTTTAAAAGCTTATTTAAATGTTATTTTGTTCGTCTTGATGATGAACCTTATGTATACATGTTAATAGTCGATGCTATGATTCACATCTTTCTATCTCGATTAGGCATCGCTTTTAAATACAATAGTCAAAATAATATGATAACTTCACGAGAATATTCTGATATGTATATCGATGAAAATCAATGGTTTGGAGCATTAACCGGTTTGACGGCAGGTCTTCTTCTTTCACCACTATCAGTAAAGAATGATAAAGATAAACATTATCTTAATCGAAAATTAATTGTTCCTTATGGACAAGTTCAAACAACAAAAACATTCAAAAATGATCATCAAATCGTAATGATAGAACGAAATTCAACATTGACATCATCATTTCTTTATAAATACTTTGTTTTTACTCTGAACGATCGATTACGTATTCTACAACCAACAGATAGCCCAACAGGCTGGCTCTATTTAGCATTGTTACATGCAATGACATCGTATTCTCTACCTGATCAATATACAGGAATGACCGGAATGGAACGTTCGTTTCAATTATTGAATTCAGCTGGTTGTTGGTCCGATCAACCGTTCGACTTGATTTCTCGAAATATTCTTCTTCAAATGGCGACTATCTCACCAAAAGTAAATTATTATCCAGAACATCTCAAATGCATGCAAAAAGTTGAATGGAATACAAATAGTTTACCTCATTCATTGCAACATTTTGGTTATTATTTAATAACAAAAAAGTTAATCGAAACAAGTGAACAATTGAATTTTATGCATTCGTCATCAACAACATCTCCCGATGAAATAGAGAAACTGTTTCAAAGTAAAAAATACAATGAAACATTATTAACGAAACTCTATTGGGATTATCGAGATTCATACAATCCTACAGCTCGATTATCTGCACTAATGGAAGCAGAGATTTTTCGCACAAATGTAGCAAAACCATATCAACCAGTTTGGGAGTGTTGTCCATCTACAACAAATTACACTCATTGTAATTTAGTAGATTATTTATATAGTAACGGAGATGTAAATTTGAAAAATAACACAGAACTCAGATGTTTTCCTTTGTCTCAATGGCTTTCAAGTGAATATGAATTGAAAAATATTTGGATTGGCTTATTTAAATTCATTGAAGAGGTGAAATCAGCTGACAGTGACAAGCGACAAGATGAAATTGAACGTTACGAATTGTTGCTCGGCTTTTTGCATTATATTTCCGGTAAAGGTTCGAGCCAACCATATTATTTGCAATTGCTTTGGTCCATATTGAAAGCACCGACTCTGCCATTGAGACCTGCCTTATATCCTTCATTTAGTCGATATGAACATATTCAGGAAATTTCATTTCAATGTAATCGTATCAATTTAGGAAATCTGCGTTATAAGCGGAGTATAGCTTTACAAGAAATTCAAGATTGTTTTGAAAAAAATTGCAGTTATCAAAATAACAATCTTCCACAGATAAACCAAATAAGTGAAAAAATTTATGAAATCAACTTGTTATTTCAATCATGGCGAAAGAACCGCATACTTCGTGCGTTTCTAAAACATATTCAAAGTTATCTTAGTTCGGTCACTATTGTTCCATTCAATATTAAAGTATTTGTTACTCCTCAACAATTTACATTCGAATCATTTCAAAATCATTATCGAATCCGCCTTAACTCGACAAAACAAGTCATTGACCAAAACATGCTAGAAAGTGCCAAAGAAAAGTTTTTGCATTCTCATTCTAATTACTTTATTAAACCAATATCAAGAGTTCAAATCAAAAGTGAGAAAAAACCATTTCCCGAGAAAATCTTTCCTTCTACTGACTCTCAAATCAATCCTCTAAGTGATATTGCCAATCATTTTAAGGAACATTTAACTGAAAGTTGGGAGAAATTTAATTCAACTGAAGAATATCGAAACGAGTATCCGTCAGTGAAAGAAATCAATCAATTTCTTGATTCTTTTCGTCAAGAATCTGCACAACTATGGAATGAATTAGAAAAATTTATTATATGCGAAAATCAACAATTGTTTAACACAGGCTTAGTATTACGAGTTCTGCCGACAACTTTGATATCTGTCTTTCAAGAGATATGGTTAAATGATGCTGAATCGAATTTTTCAACATCAAACATTGTAGTGAATGGTAGAAATCCATCGTCATTGTTCTTGACTTCTGAACAACGTACACTACTCGGTGGAATCATGGTCAATTGGGTAGTAGAACAGCAAATTGAAAGAGCTTTACATTTTGCTAATCAAAATAAACAGGAAGATTTTGAAAAAGAAATATCAAATATTCCACATGTCAATTGGACGCCATCGGAGCATGTTCCATGGTTAATAATGGAACTTGAAATGAATATAACAATACGAGAAATACAAATTGAAGTAGCACGTCATATGATTCAACCAAAGAAAAACGAACAAAATTCTACAATACGAAATATTGTCATGCAATTAAATATGGGTGAAGGCAAAACTTCAGTTATTTTACCAATGTTAGCCCTTAGTCTATGCTCGTCGTCTTCAAGTTTAGTTCGTATCATTGTATTGAAATCTTTATTTTCAATGAATTATGAAGCATTACGATGTAAACTAGGTGGTCTATTGAATCGACGTATAGTTCCATTTTCATGTCGTCGTAATATGAATTTTACCGATGAACAAATAAATAAAATGTTCAACCGTCTCCAACAAGGACTTACTAGTTATGATATTATATTAACTTCACCTGAAGATATTCTATCTTTTGATTTGCTTACCATAGATAAATGTCGACGAAATGAATTTAATGTTGGTCGTTCAATGTTGTTGATTCAACGTTGGATAAAAGCGTACGTTCGTGATATTTTAGATGAATCCGATGAAATTCTACACGTCAAGTATCAATTAATTTATTCAGTTGGTAGCCAAAAACAGGTCGATGGAGGTCTAGAACGTTGGAAGACTATTCAATTAGTACTGAGTATAGTTAAACAACACGCTGCAAATATTGCACAAAAGTACAAGGATAATGTTTTTTACAAAGCATCAAAACGACAGAGTAGTTTTCCAGAATTTCGTTTACTTAATCATCAACTATTTCCAGAATTATGTCAACGAATAGCCAAGGATTGGCTTAATCAACAAACATTTCGTCATGTAGATCAGCAACTTATTTTAGCATTCATATTGCATACGAACTCCTCAGTAGATTCTTTAATTGATCTATTTCCTCATAATATAATTCAAATGCTTCTTATTGTACGTGGCCTTTTATCATCTGAAGTATTATTTATGGCATTGAAAAAGCGCTATCGTGTCAATTACGGTGTAAATCCCAACCAAAAATTTAACCGTTTAATGGCTGTACCATTTCGTGCGAAAGATGTAGCAGCAGAAAATACTGAATTCGGACATCCGGATGTAGCCATTGTTTTAACTCAGCTTTCTTATTATTATAGTGGTTTGAAAGATGAGCAAATGCTTAAATGTTTTAATCATTTGACTCAAAGTGAAAGTGACCCGGATGTGATTTACGAAGAATGGATTTCATTGGAAGAAGATGCTGAAAGCATCTCAAGCATCAGGCAATGGAAACAAGTTAATTTGAAAGACGCTCAACAACGAACGCAACATCTCTTTCCAACTCTACGACAGAATAATCTAGTGATTAATTATTTTCTCAATCATTTTGTCTTTCCTCATGAATCCAAACAATTTCCGCATAAACTAGTTGCTTCCCCGTGGGATTTGTCTTCATCATTACGTTCAAAGATAATTACTGGATTTAGTGGTACAAATGACACTCAATTATTATTACCAATTCATATTTGTCAATATGATTTACCTGAACTTCGAAAAACTGATGCTATTGTTCTCAATAATTTACTTCAACCGATGAATGAACATTACCAATGTTTATCTATTGGTGCAAACTCGGATGAAATCTTAAAACAAATTGTTAATCATAAACCAATGATTCAAGTGATATTGGACGTTGGTGCATTGTTTATCGATGAAACAAATAGTCAAATAGCTGTGAAATGGTTAGATCTATCGGATAGAGTACAAATCGATTATTGTGTTTATTTCGAATCGGATTCAATTTTCGTTTGTGATTGTCAATATCAACATCATGCATTTTTAACATCACCAGCTAGTGAAAGGCTTGATCGCTGTGTGTTTTATTTAGATGAAATTCATACAAGAGGAACAGATTTTAAATTTCCAAATGAATTTCGAGCAGCTGTTACTCTGGGAAATGGTCTTAGTAAAGATCGATTTGTTCAAGCTTGTATGAGAATGAGAAAACTAGGTAAACATCATTGGTTAAGTTTTTGGAGTTCAAATGAAGTTCATCAACAAATAGAAATGTTAAAGAAAAATTTATCATTATCTAATAAAAAAGAAAATATTGATGATCAAATTATTCTAATGGATATTCTTCGTTGGGTATATGAAAATACTCAACAGGCAACATGGGATGGATTACATCATTGGGCAACACAAAGCTTGAGTTTTCAACGAAAACTTGCTGCTTTTCGAGATATTCAATGGACCAATTCTCAGCAATCATTTGCAAATTCTATGATGGAAAATTTAGCTAAAAAATGTTTAGAACTAGAAGTTTTAGAATTAAAATCAATGTATGGTGTATCGAAAATATATCAAACAGTTCTAGATATTTACTTAGCTCGATATAAACATGCAAATATTTGTTCATCGATTGAAATTCATGAAGCTGTTTCCAAACAATTGAAAGATTATGGTGGTTCCAAAAAACTTTTAACACAATTATTAGATGAAGAACAACAACGAGAATTAGAACGAGAGCAAGAGTTAGAAGAAGAACGACAACAATTTCGTCCTTCACCTGCCGTTCCATGTTTACCTGAACTACATGATACAATCAAAAAGTTGTGCAACATGCAAGCGCCAATGCTAAATTTATCAGCATTATCTTCTGTATTTTTTCCAATTGCCGATGCTTTTGAAGGTACGACTTTCTATCGTGAATGTCAACCTCGTTGCTGGCAAGAAAATCTTTGGGTTACAAAGGAATTCAAACGTGTGATTCAAACACGAGGAGAATCATTGGATCCATTCCTACGTCCTCCTCGGTGGATTATTGTCTATCGAAATCAACATATCATTTTCGTAAGTCCTTTGGAAGCAAATTGGTTGATGGGTCAATTACAATCTGACTATCATAAACAATCATCTAATGATCTATTCACGACAACATTACGTTTGTTATTGCCACGCACAAAACGAGATCAATCAATTATAGTGACTACACCAACTCTAACGATTCCTCCATCGATTTCAGTCAATCGTGGTGCTGTTGCTTTTCCAATTCCAATCGAATGGTTAGTGGAGTTATTTGTTTTTAATGGAACTCTCTATTTTGAATCTATTCAACAACAGACAGCTTATTGCCATTGTCTAGGTATATGCCCTAAACCTCGAACTACATTTGAAGAAGAGGCTTTTGAGAAAGGTTGGATTCTTGTCGATGGATTTGTAGAAAATTTAGAACATCGTCAACGTTTACAACTTCATCAATGTCGATTTCGTTCTAATCCTTTAGTATTCATTAGAAAATTAATAGAAAATCGAAATCAAGCAAATGCTCCTCTTTCATCCCATGTTGGAAGTATTATAACAATCGCTTTAAAACGTTCATAGTGATTATCTTCACATTGATTTTTTTCTCCGAAACAAATACTTATTTATCACTCCTGAATAAATAAAAGAACGTCTAAATAATATATAATATGTCTTATTGCAGATCAAAGTACATCTGAATAAGAATGAGTGAAGAATACATCGTATGTGAAAGAAGAAAGGGAAAATCTTAATAGGGTGTGGGTGTGGGTGTGGGTGGGTGTCGGTGTGGGTGTGGGGGTCGGTGTGGGTGTGGGTGGGGGGGTGGGTGGGTGTGTGGGTGGNAAAATGGAACATTTATTCTTGGTGAAACTTGTAGCATACATTAAGGACCATGAGACCTACATATGGGCAAAATTTCAAGACATAATTTCGTCATTTGAATTTTTTGTAAATACCTTGTCATAGGCCGAAAAATCAGTAAAATGGCCATAACCCTCGAAAGAAGCAACATGGGCCTAAATCCTCTTAGGCTTTTTCTTAGCATATTGACCCCTACATATGGGCAAAATATAAGCAAAATCGGCGTGAATCACTTGAGACGGTTCCCTCGTAAGTGCATAATTGAAAAGACCATAATCTCATAGCTTTTGACTGCTTGGAAATACTTTCTAGCGGATCAGAAGTGAACAAACATTTTGTTTAAAAATTTTCAGATCATCCGTTATTTAGATCTTTGAATCGATATGAACAAACAGTAGCTTGAGATCATTTTTTCTTTTTTTTTGCTGAAAAGAACTTTAAAGAAAATGATCATAGTTATAAAATTAATTGAAAAAAACTGGCATGCAACGAATATCGGAAAGTGAATGCTTTTCTTTATCTTTCTTGTACTGAGTTATATTATTATCTAGCAGGAACAAAGAAGACTAGATGTCGTTCTCATACTGTCTTTCGTAAAACTAAAATTTTCCTTTGACGCGTGTTTACAAAGGAAAAAATTAATTTTGAGCCTTTTTGGTCCCAAAACTGGTTCTTTGATATATATAGCAAAAAGGTTCATTTTATATGATCACACTTCTACTAGAACTTCTGCGTATTTAGTGACGTAGATAAAAGCAATTCTCTAGTAGATGTTACATTAATTGTCTATAAAATCATAATCTGCTCTAAATATATGCAGACGAAAATCTTTGTATGATAATTATATTTTCTCTTGAATATTGTTAAACTATAATATATCAAGTAATATATACGCTTCTGGGTAATAGGCATCGTTACGGTTGTAAATAAAATCGGTATAGAGATGAAAGAACAGTTTATTTTAAAGATAAAAAATGATAACAGATTTTGCATTTTTCGGAAAATGTTCACAATGTAAAATCGAGTTCTCTATCAGAGAAGCGTCCATATGGATACGAGCGTGATTTTCTAACATGAAAAAACCTGAAAGTTGAATATTGTATTTTCAAAACAAATAGAAATTCATTATCGAATTCGTGTGGACATTCCTAGAATATTTTTTGTGTTCTCTATAAGCTATTTTCTATTTTACAGTGCATGATCCACTCATGGCATCCTACATATTTTTGGTACAGTTATTTCTATATTTCTTCATTGGCAGCTGCCATTTCTTTTGATTGAGCAATCAATTGTGCCAAATCATTATCACTAACTTGAATACATTCGGTTTGTCCATGAAAATCACTATTACTAAATCTTACAAACCAATTTTTTTCTTCTGCTTGCTCCTTCCACCAATTTTCAATTCTGGTAGTCGTGATTAATTTTGCGCGTAAGGTCAACAAGAGTTTCATTTGGTATTGTTTTAGTTCTAATGTAGGATACCTTTTCAAAGCATTCTCATGTTGAGTGCGACCAAATTTGATCAGCGGTCTTTCAATTTTACCGTTTGCTTCCGTGCCTGGATCAACAAGAGAAAATACATAGAACGTATTTGGAACGTTAGCTGTCCATTTTAATCTTTCTTCTGAAAATCGGCTCTCATTGTTCCGATGATGAAGTACACAGGAAGGACAGTAATAATCGTCTGTCAAACATTGCGCAGGCGAAGGCTTCCACTTGCGTACACATTCAGCGTCACAACACTCATGTGCTACGTTTTTATACATTCCACCCCATGTTCCAGTCCGCTTGAATCTACCATCTTTCTTCTCTATCAAGAATTTGTCATACTAAAGTAAAAAAAGTGAAACGTAAAGCTGGTAAATCTTCACGAAGGGATACAGTATAATTACCTCTTCAACAGTCATTTCTACTCTTTGTTTTTTAGATCTGTATGAGATTGAGGCATCGTCATTATTTTCTTTCTTCTCCACCACAGTTTTGTTCCGTTTCCTGCTCATTGTATTTTTGTTAAAAGGGTAGGGATCACAGCTTTTTTATGACTGAATTGTGAATCTTCGAGTAATTATTAATTGAAAAAAAATACTAATCACATAAATTATTTAAATTTTCTGATTATATGAAATATAAATAAACGCATATTGGTTAGTAAACTGATTTGATACCTACGCATGATTTACATAGTTATTATTTAGAAGGAGAACGCACACATTACTAATATAGTTGCATACTGGTTGCGCAACTTATCACGTGACTGTTTCTTACCAAACTTTTTAGAAAAAATATTGAGTTTGATGTTGTTACAGTTACGTTTATGACTCGATCTTTGCTAGTGTTAGGATTCGCACTCACAAAGAGCGATGAACACAATAACGACGTGTTTTCTTCTCTCTCTGTTTATTCTTTTAGAAAAACAGTGTTTATATACACACATGAGAAAACAAGGACAAAACAAAAAAGAATACAAAGGTTAATCAACGTCAAAGAAAAGAAGTAACAGAAACGAAATAAAGAAATGACTAAAGAGAAGAGAATAGAGAGGATCGAGGTATATGTTATAAGAATACACTGTAACAGCTAGCTTTATCTACTCGGACAAATGTAATTCTTTTTAATACTTTTATCACAAACAAAAAGCTAACAACGTCATACATAAAACATAAAGATTTTTCTGCTTCAAGATCAGTAATGTGAAGCTTTGTAAACTCTGATATGCGTACACGCTCATATACATATACTCAATTTCTCTAGGTACAACAACTTAGACATGTAGATACACATACTCACATAATACAGTAATATACATGCAAACACAGTATTAAAAGAAGCAATCTGACCATATAATATGGAAGGAGCACAAATCTTTCTTATCTTGCATGACGTCATATTGAATCAGAACATAAAAAAGAGAAAATAACTAGAGCAATGTAGTTATGCACCCATCATAGAGGGCTGTTCAAAACAATTCTGTTTTGCTTGCTAGTTTCCTCAACAACTATACGCTTTTTATGGATACTCGGGTACTTTTAGGCATGTACCGAGCTTTTTTTCGTTATTTTTCAACACTTTTATATTATAACCTTGAGCTCTGAAATGTAAGACTTAATCTTGCGGCTGAACCTATCAAAAGATAGACAAAACATTTCTCTACAAAATGAGACGTTCCACAGTTCTGTGTTGCAGTTATTCTAATTTTTATTTGCAGTGCAAAAAATGTCTCAACCGAGCCCGAGCACCGAGCCTTAGCTCGGCCAGGCTCGGCTTGTAAAGTTCTCACAAAAACCAAAAGAATTGCTGCACAGAGATGAGGTATGTCTCATCTGATAGAGTAAAATTTTCTCAATCTTTTGATACGTTAGATTACGCGATTCAGCTTTTTATTTCGCAACTTCAGCTTTAGTATGAAAAAACTCGAAAATAATGTAAAAAAGCTCGATACATGCCTAGGTACTTTTCATTTTTGTTGCATTTATCTATTTTTGAATTTATTACAGAATTTTTCGCGTTTTCGACTGCTTATGGTGATTTCTCCATACGTTTTCTTTGATCTCTTCTTAACTATAGAAGATTCATAATTTTTTTTTCATAAAAATATAGCCAATGGCAATCAGATATGAAGAGCACCGAGTATAGAATAGAGATCAATCTGACTGATCGTAATTTCGATTCTTCAAGAGTAAAATCATCTTTCCAATAGGCTTGTATGTATCTCTCGTTTACAGAAAAGTTTTTCAAAAATAAAATTACACTTGATATTGCTCTGGTCGAAAATATCCAATTATCGACTCGAGTGCACGCGATTACTAGATTCTCCCAACTAGCTTTAATATAAAAAGATCGAAAGAAAACATTTTTGTCTTCTCTTCTTTTCAGTTCCACATGTTTATATTTAACACACTCAACTGTTCACTAATTTTTGACTGATCGATTACTAATTTTCCAACAATGCATATATACTTTATAATTGCTTCAGGAATCTGGCAATATTTTCTTTTATTTATTTTCAAATGTCGACAACCGATCAACTTTTCGAGAACATTGTATTCTATTAAGACTGGCAAAAAATGTCTATCGCACGGAGATCGAGCGTTCAGAAATGTTAGATACAGAAAATATGAATTGGTTCCAACTTTCGGTCCACTCATTGGATCTGAGTCTTTGTATAATGTTTGATGAACACCACTTGCTGAGAAGTAATTTCAATGAAAATGTTCGTTTGCCATATGCAGTGGCCGATGTCACTAACTTGTTGCCAACGCGACAAACAAGATGAGAGCAGCACATCAGTCGAATCAAATGAAGAGCACACTGTAAGAAAAAGCCAGCTGTCTTCCAAGATGGTGCATTTGTCTAGTATCTAAATTTAGAGGCGAGATGGTTCTTCTTTTTAGACGCTTGGATCCAATAGATACTGACACGCGTTAAGTATAATATCAGTTGAATATTCACTAATTGCTTTTTAGGTAGGTGCGTCATTTGTTAGCGGTAATCTTAGTGAGATCAGCAACAAAGTTATTAATAGTAATCCATTATTGTCAGAACGAGGTGAGCTTTTGCTTTGTATTGCCAGTAGAGTAAGCAGTAATTACATGCTACTGTTTGAATTAAAAACGAAAGTGGCACTCTCTCTTGGAATGCCATTTTGTCATACATATTACTGGCTAGTCACACGTTAGCAAACTCTCACAACATTTTCTTTTTCTTTCGTTCATCTGTTGATATTTCTTCTTGCATGATATTTCATTTTCACATCCTTTTGTGGTTTAAGTTAAACATTTCTTTATTTTTCTCATCAAGATCAATCTTTTTTGTGTTATGAATGAGAAAAGCAAGTTAGTTTCATTTATTTTATGCAATTAGAATGAAGAAAGTTTTTTTCATATATATATGAGAGTTGCTCTTTCTTTTTTCTTTTAAACGATCGTCTTTTTGGTCATCATTTGCCTTTATTTATTCATCTTATTGTAGATGATTATTGACATTTGTGCATTCTTTAACTTGTAGAAAATATTTTGATCACTAGTTCTTTCTGTTTTATAGAGCTTCGTTTCTTATGATGCAGTTTTTAACAGAAAAACAAGCAGATTCATTCTTGAAAATGAAAAATTCTTCTGCTCTCATTTTGTTAAGATTTTGAATGTATACGAGAAGTTTATATCCAAAGCAGTACTTCGATATTACTGAATACATTTATACTACATAATTAATTTTTTTTCTTTTATTTTAGTACCGTAATAATCAGTTGTCACTAGTTATTCTGAAATCACGTCGCAACATAATACGACGCAAAAAGGTATACTTTTCAATTGTTTGAAACTATTCAATTGCTTCTTTGTTTTGGTATAAAATGACGATACCCTAGCGGAAATATTCGATGTTTAAGTACTTAGTTCTTGACAAATTCTATAAGGATCCTGCAAGGATTCAGCGTTTTTCTGAGAAAACGGCTAAGGGTGTGAATGTGAATATCTATCAAAGAGCAGGCAAGAATCCGTACCCACACCCACACCACTATGGGAGACTGCCAGGTAAAGATGGTGTGAACAATATGTCAGATATGCATAATATAGTAAAATTAGAGTTAAAAAAAGTGTGCAATATAGTAAATCTTGCTATTTTTATTGATTTGGACATTGTTGATAAATTTTAATAGTCCATCCTAACTTTGTTTCTTTGAGTCGCAAAAACTTGCCACCATAAGGAATAAAAGCGCATTCATATTTGCTTGTCTCACCAATGGCTACACCCCATGTGTTTCCATAAGTTGCATCAAGCCAACCCCTAACTTCATCGGCAATCTTGAACATTTGTGATGTCCCATGTGTATCAATTGAAGTACCTATTATGCTCAATATATTTACTCTCATAACATCCGTGATTCCCCCATCCTGCCGTTCAACTTCCCATCTCGTCATCCTAATTGATGTTTAACAAAGTATATCTAGAATAATATCTATTAAATTTATCGTTATCGTCACTATTTAATTGTATTCTTAAAACTAAAGATGACAACAAAGTATAAGCCTCTAGCAAATATCGCGGACGAAAAAGATTACTTTTCTATTTCATCCATCTACAAGTCATCCTCATGTTGAAAAGTGGAAGAAAATGAATTTTTTCTATTCGTTCCGTCTCTCTTGGATGTTCTTTACATTTTCTCTAGACTTTGCAGTGTAGGATTTGGAAGGACGGTAATTAATTCAATTCTATCGGTGCGTCTATCCGTCTACCTGTGTCTTTCTGAAACACATATTTAAAACCATTGTCTACCTTGTGGTACAGTGTGTTTTTTTTCATTCTATTCCTTTTGAATTTTCGAGAGTAGATACGAGTTTTTTTCTTGATCCACACCCCTACCCTCTTCGAAAAGTAAAGATACAAGTGGGCTGCCAACATATTTGATATGATGATAATATGAAAATGAAGCAGCCACAATTGTTTAGCTGAGCATTAATAAGAGTGGTACACGATCTACCGACCGAGAAAGTTGAACAAAGAGACACCAAGGAAGAGGAACATCGGCAACATTTACTGCCATTTCGTCTTGTTCTTTACCATCTTCATTTACGATGCTCAATCGATGCTTATCACAATTCAGTTTCAACGCAAAAAAAATCATTGGTTCTACGAAGTTTTCTCAACCAATCAATTTAATTTCTTCTATTACATACGCAGCCACCATTAGTCAGTCACCGTATCCAGAAGAACTTAAATCGAAACGGGAGAAAGCAGCGTCTTCCGGTACAGGCAGTATATTTCGTGAGTGAATCATCAAAATTACAAAGTTGTGATATATTCTTAGTTGAATACGATGAATACCGGACGAATATGTGTGATTGCCAAGAGTTCATCCAGATGACGACAGCTCGAGTTCTTCATAGGTCCGCCTTTGTCCAGTAGTCGAATTTCATCCTCATTTGATCTATAAATTTCTTTCAATTTCTCATTGCTCACTGTATTCACGATGGCAGACTTCATTGGTGATGTACAAAAGAACGTTATATTTTTTTGTCCACTACTTGATAAAATGATTTCTTTTTTTTTCTGCACTCTTATAATTATACTCCTGGCAACCTAGGATTTTTTTTCGCTCGTTCTCTTATACTCTCATGCGATAAGCATCAAGACAAAAAACAACACACAAAAGCAGCCACTCTTCTTTCTTCTTCACTCCAAGAGAACAATGCAAGAGAGACGGTTGTTGATGCCTCATGCGATAAACCATTGGTATGCCTAAGCCAAAGAGTGAAAATGCACAAGAGAAACCCAGGCTTTGTTCTGTATACTTTGACACGATCAAACATGCTGCACAGATGAAATGCTTTTTTTTTTTTCTTTCTTTCTTTCATTCGTTTGTGTTCTTATCTACTTGTATGGGAAAGAGAGAAGGTTCTCACACTACCGATTTATTTTCATGCTGCAAAAGCTCGTCAAGTTACCAACAGCTTGAATCTTTACACTTTGGCGACGTTTATGACGGACGAGGAAACATTCCCAAGTGTCGGAACTTTTTTTAGTCGGGATTTCGTGCATCTTGTAGCCCTTAGTGAGCTGTGTCTATGGTAGCAAAGTTCAGGTTTCTGGCTTGTTTCTGAGGAGATAGAGCGTCCTTACTATTACAGTTATAATGGTCATCTTATCAGAAAAAAAAATATAATGTAAATCAATACAAGTTGACACGAACTGAGATTTTTCTCACACATAGTTGTGTTAATGTGGCAGATAGTATGTGAAAGTGTGAGCGCAAACAACCCTGAGAAGATCGAGTTATCAGTTTTACAAAATATTAAAGTCGTTCTATATGTCATTAATTATGCTATTTCGAGGAATTGCAAGACTATTGTAGTTTTTCACAATAATATACATAGGATAGTCAAGAAGTTCATGCACTTTCGAATTTTTATTCATAGAAAAAAAACATTTTGGTATACGGTTTAAAGTAAATGTTCGAAGTAGTGTCCATAATGTTCAATACAAAGTTTCTCCCATTGAACCCATTTTTGCAGTGTCTTTTGGTATTCGTGAACAGGTATTGAACTGAGCTCCCTTGTTATTGCTTTAGTTTAACTAGCAGCATTTGAATATTATCAAGGCTACGTTTCAGACAATTGAAGGACTAAAGGTCTGAAAGAGTAAAGGTAGCCGTGCATAGCGTAGGATTCATAACTTAGATTTTTTTCTCCTGAAGATTATTGAGATTGCGAATAATTTCTTGCACGTGAGATTATGCATTTTTATTATGCATATTTGTACTATTTTTTGTTGACGATGATTTTTCCTTACCTAAATTTGTCGCTAATTTCTTCAAGAATCTAGCAGGATAGTTTTTATGTGATAGATATGTCTAAGATCGTAGTAATATAATCAAGGCTAATATGTGAAATAGCATTCGATAGATCTTTAATAGAATCAACATTTGTTGAGTAATGGCAGTTATTGAGTGGCTACTTCGCAGATCATCTTCTAGTGATTCTCATCCACTTAAAAATTGATGAACACAATCAGTGACAGTACACAATGAAGCATAAGCTTGCCCATAAGCAAGAAGTTAATTCATCATGAATTTTTGTTGCATTAAGACTTAATAACAAACACGTTTTTTAATATATGAGTATATTCACAGTTTTTCCATTGTAAAATAGATGTGACGAAAAACTTCATTAAGAATTTTTCATAATAGATCCTGGTAAAAGTTCGTATTGGCAATTTAATACATAACCACTGTCTCTTCTAGAATAGACCAACATCAGGAATAAAAATAATAAGGATGAAATTTTAAACTGCTACTGCGAGAACTTTTTGTCTATCATCCGTATTTATTTTCACTTCTATCCTATTGACTATAGCGGTGCTTATACGGTAAGTTACATATATAGCGATTTCTTTCGGTACATAATGCTACAGGTACATGTTGTTATCATTAGAATAGAAGTGAAAATAAATATATTCTTGTAAAAAACTACAATTATCTTGCAATTCTGCGAAATAGCATAATTAATGATTTATAGAACGACTTTAATATTTTGCCAAACGGATAACTCGATCTGTTCAATGTTGTTTAAGCTCAGATTTTCACATTATCTGCCACATGAACACAACTATGTGTGAGAAAAATCTTAGCTTGTGTCCACTTGTATTGGTTGACATGATATTTTTTTTCTTGATAGGATGACCCTTATAACTGTAATTGTTGTAAGTATTTATTGTTTCTAAAAAAAGAATATCTATATGTTTGTTTGTTTTTTCGTTCTTTTTTCTGTTATATGTGCATCTCTTTTGTTCTTCTTCGATGATTGAAAATTGTTTATTCTTTCGCTTCTATTCTCTCAGCGTCGAACAAACATTGATAGTAATCTTGATCATTTCTGCTATTATTACGTAATAACACTTCTTTTACGTAGTAATATTTCTATTACGTGTTATATCGTACGTGATATATTGTTGTCGCTATAAACATATACAGTGGGTACCAAAATTGATCAACCACCTTAATCAATTTTTTTGTTTTGTTCATACCTCAGAAGCTAAATAAGCTAGAACCGTCTGGTTTTTGTCATATACTAGTTCATGGTCTGTAGTCTACGTATACAAAATTTAAAGTCAATCTATTGACATATTCAGTTGTTATTAGCAGCATAATTACGAAATGCCTTTTTTCATTGTTCCAAAATTGATCAACCACTTGTTGTTCATAATTCAGTGCGTGCCTATTTTAAAGAAAAATTTTCTTTTTGACACACCATTCTGAAGAGTAAATTGTGCTCTACACAGTACACTACTTTTTATTGCAGCTTCTTTTCAGAAAAGATCGAATAAGAGTGATTTTTAAAGCATATCGAAGGTTTTTGACAAAATGCGATTCTCCCCTCTAATTCTCAGCCAATATCAATTTTCAATGCACCATTAGAAAGAGCGTTACAAACTGCACCAGAGAAGTTGTTTTCACAATTATTCTATCTTAGAAAATTGACTTGTTAGATTCTTATGTGCACCAATCATGCATGGCGCTCCTTCTATTCTCTCATTTGAGCATCGAAGATGGCATAAAAACTTTTTTTAACATTGGAAATTTGTAGAGAATTGCTTTCTCTACAAAGTTCTTCTATTTGAAATCGACGGTAGTTTTATTCTCATGATTAACATACCGTTATTTCGCTCTTAGGCTTAGAGTGAAATTTGACCATTAACTTCAACAACAAAGTGGTTTCGAATTTCGTCAAATAAAGTACTGTAAGATGAAATGTGATATCGATTTTTTTCTCCACGTCTTACTCTCTTCCGAGCGAGATATGGTGGGGAAAAATAAGTTCTTTATTTGACGAAATTCGAAACCACTTTGTTGTTGAAGTTAACGGTCAAATTTTACTCTGATCCTAATAGCGAAATAACGGTATTTTAATCATGAGAATAAAAGTACCGTCGATTTCAAATAGACGAACTTTCTAGAGAAAGCAATTCTCTACAAATTTCCAATGTTAAAAAAAGTTTTTATGCCATCTTCGATGCTCGAATGAGAGAATAGAAGGAGCACTATGCATGATTGGTGCACATAAGAATCTACCAAGTCAACTTTCTAAGATAGAATAACTGTGAAAACAGCCTCTCTGGTGCAGTTTGTAACGCTCTTTCTAATGGTGCATTGAAAATTGATATTGGCTAAGAATTAGAGGAGAAAATCGCATTTTGTCAAAAACTTTCGATATACTTTAAAAGTCACTCTTATTCGATCTTTTCTGAAAAGAAGCTGCAATAAAAAGTAGTGTACTGTGTAGAGCACAATTTACTCTTCAGAATGGTGTGTCAAAAAGAAAATTTTTCTTTAAAATAGGCGCGCACTGAATTATGAACAACAAGTGGTTGATCAATTTTGGAACAATGAAAAAAGGCATTTCGTGATTGTATTGCTAATTACAAC